ATATACATGCTGCGTATATTGTGGGTGGGCTCAGACCCTTTTTAATGTACCCTTAGTGTAACTATTTTGGCTAAACATAGCAAAACGTAGGAGAAAATGTGCAACGATACAAGCGTAAACCATAAACCTCACTTTATTGACCACACCCCTGTGCAACTAGTGTGCAGTGAGCTTCTTAAGCCCATCAATATTTTCCTCTTAATTATTTTGAAATTTTTGGAAATTTTGTAGCAGCACAGGAGATATAAAGAGATACGGGAGTCTTAAAGAGATAATTCACTCTCGTTTGAAAAAAGTCTGCAGCTACAAATACTGCAGCTGCTGACTAAAAAAACAGACACTTATCAGTCCATTCAGTCCAGCACAGTCCTCATTGCAGTTGATTCTTCACCAGGCTTCCATTGTATGACGCCACCATTTTGAATTTGGGAGCCTGCTGTGAGTTCCTGATGCTCGAGTTCCAAAGCCGGATCTCCACTGCATATGTGAGAAGCATGGTAGTTCCGTGGGATGTTTCCCAGGGGGCTGCAGGCTGGATGGAGGTGGGGTGACCACACAGATGTCATTGAGAACGTGGGAGTGGGTACCTATCAAAAATAGGTACCTTCTCCCAGTGGTACTGTCATTTTTGAGGTGAAGGTCCACTTTAAATGAGGTGAACAACACATGAGCTTGTTTAACACACCACATGCTGCAAAACAACTGATCCATATGTATCCATGCATGCCAAACTTTGAAATATTGTAGCTCATCTTTAATTTTCAAACATGGAGAACATTAATGATCACAATAGTGAAATACTGGTCTTAAGGTGACACCAAATTATATCCTTATTTTCCAAAAATGATCCATACAAATCCATTACTTAATGTCTATGTAATCTATTTTTCATGAAATTGTTTCTTACTGTGTTTTCTGCCACCTTGTAATGTCCTCTGTGAGTTCCCGAACTGCTTGTTTTCTTCCTCACTTCGGCGTGTCTACAGTCTACGTTAGTTGTGGTTACGTGCACTGCTCTATGCACACTACAAGTCCCATAGTCCATAGTCCATCTTGGGAGCAGGCAAGAGAGGATTTCTATGTTCCTACATACAGCGGGACCTTTTTAACACAAAGGAACCCTGGAAATAACTTTCCAGTCTCAGGGAACCCATGCTAAAAACTTCTATATCTACAACTCATAATGCATTAGTGTGATGATCATTGGGGAGAATATTTGCTACACTTGTGATCACTAGGAAGATATAACCTCTTACAGATAGCTGAACAGATCAATGGTGTGGGAAATTATCTGAGAGGCAGAAATTGCTCATTGCTCAAGGAACCCTTAGCAGCCTTTGGAGGAACTTTAGAGTTCCATGGAACCTTGGTTGTGAAACCCTGCTCTAAGAGGAAAAAAAAACATCTAAGAGGGGCTGGGACATTAATTAATGTGAGTTCATACAAGTTATTGAGAGAGCAAAAATATTTCAAAAGCTCTTGGGCTCAGGATAGGCTGCTTACAACAAGCAAGGCTACCCTCCAGTGGGTCCCCCTGCAGGTTACCAGAAAAAAAATTTATACATAGAAGGGAAACCAAACCAAAAAGCTAAAAGAGTCCAAACTAATTTATCAGTATTTTGCTAAAAAAAACAAAAAAAAATGAGTTTGAGGGTCAAAGGAACTCCCTCGTCATCAGGGCTTCAAGTAAGAATGAGGTACTTGAATGGACTCAAAGTAAAGCTTTCCTGTGTGAATCTGTGCAGGGATTGAATGATTGCTTATACTGAAACTGCTGCCAGTAACTCTCCTAATCCAGCAATCAGCTTCCCTGCAAAATTCATACAGGAAAGCTTAAATTTGAGTTCATTCAAGGTTCCCATTCTTACTTGAAGCCCTGATGAAGGTGGAGTTATTTTCACCCCGAAATGTGGCTTTTTTTTTTTTTTGCACAATACCGATAAATGAATTTGGACTCTTATCTTTTTGGTTTGGCGCTCCTTCCATGTATGAATGTTTTTTTTCTGGTTCCCTCCAGCAGGAAGTCAGACCACAGCAGCAAAAAAAAAAAACATTTGGAGATTTGGAGGAGGCCTAGAGCCATAGAAGGGACTTTTTTAAGTTAAGAATACATACTTAATTTTTTTTTTAAAACCAGAGTATAAAAGCAAGGATTGTAGTTTTTGCTTACAAGCAATGCCCTATATTTTTTTATAGAAGCACACAGGCACACTTTAAAAAAACCTATGTCATTCCATTATAGATGATGCATAGAAATTTCAGGCAAAGCCTAAAATGCCATTATTGTGTGGTATGCGGTGATGTAATTGCACTGCACAAAATGGCATGAAGTGATGTGTGATAACACTTTTTCTTCCACATCAGGACCGCAGATCATAAACTAATACATTGTAATACAAACAGTACTTTGGCTCTTCCATAGTGCTGAACCATACCATTCTCCATGTATGTTCATATATTTCTTTCTTGATAATGCATTCCCTTAATTACTTAAAGTAGAAAGTGAGCTGGTAAATTAAAGAGCGTGGAGTTGTGACAAGATAGGACGAAAGTCTTAAATAAGAAAAGGTTAAAATACGTCCCTGTTACAATGAATTTTGAAAACATGTTAATTCATTAGGAGTCCGAAATCTTCCTTATGAAAATGTTCATTGTGAAGTGTTAAACAAGTAGAACAAATAACATGCCACCAGCATACCAAATTACAATGAGTCACAAATGGATATTTTCTATGGCAATTTATTTCACAATTATTCTTGTGGAAGCTTTCATGAATTAAATATGAGTTCTGTCTTGAAATTAGGTGTTATAAAGCTAAATTACATGAGGCATCCAGTAATTGAGGTGGTAGCAACACGAGGTCTCCTGAACTAATCTTTGCCGGTGTCACATGACTGACCTCCAGCCAATAACATGTCTCTCCATCACAATAACAGAAGCAGCTGAGAAAAATTGATTTCTCATCTGAGCCATGTTTGATAGCTTTTGAAATCGAAAATTGAAATTAACTAACCTAAGCCCCGTCATAACAAAAGAGCAAATTAGGTATGCAAGATCATTTCCTATTGGCAGTCTGGGGGCCTGCCAATGTAAATTTGTAAATAGAGTTTAAGATGCAATGCTGCGCTCTTTTCCCTTTCGTTATTTCTCCCTCATATTGTTAGAACAAGCACTGCGGCTTTTAAATTATTTATATGAGGAGATCAGCCGCGCTGTGTTTGGAGAATTGCATGGAGAACGGATGAAAAAAGCGTTGAAACTAGCTTCGAACTTGGTTCTAAATAAAATTAGTTTCTTTTTTTTGTTTTTTTTTAATCCCTATGAAGGACTGCTGTTAAGACGAATGCAAAAAATGGAGTCAGAATTAAAATTGGGGATTTGTTACAGAAAAGATGTCCCATATTTTTTCCTTCATATCTCTAAATGCCAAATCTAAAGGGTGAAAAATAAAAAAGCTGCTAGCACACCATTATACATGATACACATGGCCACATAAATATACGTAAATCCAAAAAGTGCTGCTCTAATTAACACATAAAAAGTGAATCAATATAAAAAAAAATTATACGCTGTGTATGTATGAGTGTGACAATTTATTTCCTGGAATGCCCGCGACTATGTTGGTGAGTCACACAGCCATTCGCACTTGAGTGTGTTCTGATATGTTCTAACTTGGGTCACAGACCAGTTGACTCAGTCCTTTATGGAATAGTAGAAGCAATAACACATGTGTGCGTTGCTCTGTTGGTGGAAAATGAGCGACAGGAATTTGGAGCAGTGGTTAACCATTTGACGCCCGGCCTATGGCCAAATGGTGTCCGTAAAAATGTATTAACTTTCCGGGAGGCCGCCATATGGTGTCCTCCCGCACATGCGCAGTTTGCGCGCTTGCAGAGCCGCGCAGCGGCGCGATCTGGCCGGCCGTGACCTCGGACACTGATGACAGATCTGAGTACCGGCCCCCCATTGCCGGTACCATGTGACCTGCTGTGACCAATCACAGCAGGTCACATGACAGTTGTATACAATGGATGGCTTCATTCATGCCATCCATTGTATACTAGTGTCTAGCTGTGAATGGTCACAGCTAATCACATGCACATGTCATGTGATTAGCTGTAGCCAAATCACAGCTAAGCACAAAAAAAAAAAAACCCTGAATGAATCGATGTCATTCAAGTAAATGCTTGCTTATAGCAAAGTAATTCTTTGCTATAAGCAAATTGTGTAAAAAAAAAAAAAAAAAAACTTACCCATTGTACAATGTTACTATGGTAACATTGGTCATAGTGAAATATGAAAAAAAATTTAAAAAAAAAATGTAATAAAAAATTAAATTATTTTAATAAAAAATTAAAAAAAAAAAATATATATATATATATTTTTTTTTCAAACTGTCACCAGTCAGTGTCCCTGATCACCGCCATGCCAGTTATATGATGACGCTGTACTGCACTGGTGACAATATGTAAAAAAAAAAATAGTGAAAATTATTTTTTTTATTTTTTCATTTTCCGAAAACTTATGAAAAAAAAATACAACTTCAAAAAACTCGCCATGCCTCTTATGAAGTACGTCGGACTGTCTACTTTGCAAAAAGTGGTCATTTGGGGGATATCTGTACTGTTCTGACATTCTTGGACCTCAAGATATTAGATTGGCTGTCAGTACTTCAGGACTGAGCAATATTCAGATCTATCCCATAGTTTGTGAACTCTATAACTTTCCTACAAACTAAAAAATACATCCTAATTTGGGTTATTTTCACCAAAGACATGTAGCAGAATACATCTCGGCCTAAATTTATGAAGAAAAATATTTATTTATTTGCAAACTTTTTTAACAGAAACAAAGAAAAACATGTTTTTTTTTCAAAATTTTCGGTCTTTTTTGTTAATTTAGCAAAAAATAAAAACCCCAGCAATTATTAAATACCACCAAAAGAAAGTTCTAGTTATGTGAAGAAAATGATAAAATTTTAGTTGGGTACAATGTTGTATGACTGCGCTATTGTCATTGTCAGTGTGAGAGCGCTGAAACCTGAAAAATGGCCTGGGCAGGAAGGTGTAAAATTGCCTGGTATTGAATTGGTTAAACATCAAAATTTGCTTGAAAACTGCCAAAAGCATGAGTGAAACTTTAGCTCTGTTACAACAGGCTTATGGTGAACATTCCATGGATAAATCAAGTGTTTTTGAATGGCATAGGTCAGTGGTTCTCAACCTTTCTAATGTCGCGACCCCTTAATACAGTTCCTCATGTTGTGGTGACCCCCAACCATAAAATTATTTTCGTTGCTACTTCATAACTGTAATTTTGCAGTGGGAGGACTAGCGCCCCATCACTGATGTCAGTGGGATGAATAGTGTCCCATCGTTGGTATCAGTGGGAGGAATAGCGCCCCATCATTGGTGTCAGTGGGAGAATAGTGTTCCATCATTGGTGTCAGTGGGGGGAATAGTGCCCCATCATTGGTATCAGTGGGGGGAATAGTGCCCCATCATTGGTATCAGTGGGAGGAATAGTGCCCCATCATTGGTATCAGTGGGGGGAATAATGCCCCATCATTGGTATCAGTGGGAGGAATAGTGCCCCATCATTGGTATCAATGGGAGGAATAATGCCCCATCATTGGTATCAGTGGGAGGAATAGTGCCCCATCATGGGAGGAATAGTGTCATTGGTATCAGTGGGAGGAATAGTGCCCCATCATTGGCATCAGTGGAAGGAATAGTGCCCCATCATTGGTGTCAGTGGGAGGTGCCCCATCATTGGTATCAGTGGGGGAGGAATAGTGTCCATCATTGGTTTCAGTGGAAGGAATAGTGTGGTATCAGTGGGAGGAATAGTGTCCCATCATTGGCATCAGTGGGAGGAATAGTGCCCCATCATTGGCATCAGTGGAAGGAATAGTGCCCCATCATTGGTGTCAGTGGGAGGAATAGTGCCCCATCATTGGTATCAGTGGGAGGAATAGTGCTCCATCATTGGTTTCAGTGGGAGGAATAGTGCCCCATCATTGGTGTCAGTGGGAGGAATTGTGTACAATCATTGGCGTCAGTGGGAGGAACAGTGCCCAATCATTGGCGTCAGTGGGAGGAATAGTGTACAATCATTGGCATCAGTGGGAGGAATAGTGCCCCATCATTGGTGTCAGTGGGAGGAATAGTGCCCCATTGTGGGTGTCAGTGGGAGGAATAGTGCCCCATCATTGGCGTCAGTGGGAGGAATAGTGTACAATCATTGGCATCAGTGGGAGGAATAGTGCCCCATCATTGGTGTCAGTGGGAGGAATAGTGCCCCATTGTGGGTGTCAGTGGGAGGAATAGTGCCCCATTGTGGGTGCCAGGGGGAGGAATAGTGCCCCATCGTGGGTGTCATTGGGAGGAATAGTGCCCCATCGTTGGTGTCAGTGGGAGGAATAGTGCCCCATCGTTGGTGTCAGTGGTGGGGGGAGGAATAGTGCCCCATCGTTGGTGTCAGTGGGGGAGGAATAGTGCCCCATCGTTGGTGTCAGTGGGGGGAGGAATAGTGCCCCATCGTTGGTGTCAGTGGGGGGAGGAATAGTGCCCCATCGTTGGTGTCAGTGGGGGGAGGAATAGTGCCCCATCGTTGGTGTCAGTGGGGGAGGAATAGTGCCCCATCGTTGGTGTCAGTGAGGGGAGGAATAGTGCCCCATCGTTGGTGTCAGTGATCGTTGGGTCAGTGAGGGGAGGAATAGTGCCTCATCGTGGGTGTCAGTGGGGGGAGGAATAGTGCCCCATTGTTGGTGTCAGTGAGGGGAGGAATAGTGCCCCATCTTTGTTGTCAGTGAGGGGAGGAATAGTGCCCCATCGTTGGTGTCAGTGGGGGGAGGAATAGTGCCCCATCGTTGGTGTCAGTGGGGGAGGAATAGTGCCCCATCGTTGGTGTCAGTGGGGGGAGGAATAGTGCCTCATCGTTGGTGTCAGTGAGGGGAGGAATAGTGCCCCATCGTTGTTGTCAGTGAGGGGAGGAATAGTGCCCATCGTTGGTGTCAGTGAGGGGAGGAATAGTGCCCCATCCCCATCGTTGGTGTCAGTGAGGAATAGGAAGGAATAGTGCCTCATCGTTGGTGTCAGTGAGGGGAGGAATAGTGCCTCATCGTTGGTGTCAGTGAGGGGAGGAATAGTGCCCCATGTTGGTGTCAGTGAGGGGAGGAATAGTGCCTCATCGTTGGTGTCAGTGAGGGGAGGAATAGTGCCCCATCGTTGGTGTCAGTGGGGGGAGGAATAGTGCCTCATCGTTAGTGTCAGTGAGGGGAGGAATAGTGCCTCATCGTTGGTGTCAGTGGGGGGAAGAATAGTGCCCCATCGTTGGTATTAGTGACACAAATGATGGGGCACTATCCCTCCCACTGACACCAATGATACTTACCTTGCTGACTCCTGCTCCAGCCTGGGCTCGCTCTCTCCCTCTCCCATCTACAGCCTGCATACCTGGCTGCAGCAGCAAAATTTGCACTTACCTGTCAGCTGTCTTCCTTCTCTGGCCTCTCTCTTCACTCGCTCCTGCAGCTCCCTCGATCTTCTTTGATCTCCGCGCGCTGCCGCTCGGCTCCTCCTCTCCAAGCTCCACCTCCTCGCCGGTGATTGGCCGCCTGTGTGCCTCTCCTGAGCTACAGTTCTGGTGGCCAATCAGTGGCGAGGAGGCGGTGACAGGGGCAGCATATCCCGCCCACACATCGCCGGAGACAGGAGCGGTGTCTCGGTTCCTAAGACCATCGGAAATATGTGTTTTCGATGGTCTTAGGCGACCCCTGGGAAATGATCGTTCGACCCCCAAAGGGGTCGCGACCCCCAGGTTGAGATCCGCTGGCATAGGTGGTTTAAGGAGGGGCAGGAAGATGTCCACAATGACACAAGAAGTGGGAAACCAAAAATGCAAAGGACTGATGCAAATGTGGACAGAGTGCAAACCCTCATTCGCTCACTGAAACTCTATCTTGAAAGTGGATTCTCCACCATGACAATGCTTCTGCACACAATATGTTAGGTGTTTGTGAGTTACTAAGCCCAGAAATCCATTCTAAAACTTGACCAACCACCTTATTCCTCTGACTTAGCACCCTGTGACTTTTGGCTGTTATCAAAATTAAAAAATGTCTTAAAAGGACAATGATTTAATGACATTCCAGAAATCCAGCGTGCCGCGACAAAGATACTGTGTTCCTCGAATGTGGACACAGTCATCCAGAAAACTTCAGAGAGAGACTAATTTGAAGTTGCCAAGAGCTGCTAGTGTATGGGTAAGCAAACATTTTTTTTTACAGTCCATTCCGGGAAGTAAATTGTTACACCTCATGTAAAAATAGAAAATTTGTTGTATAATGTCCACACAACTTAAAGAAATGTCCACAGTGAAAATGAAATAAATAATCTTGCTGTAAATTCCAAGCTCATGTAGACAAAAAAGACCAGAGATGGTGAAGAAAGCTCCTCCAAGTGTGAAGCAATACACACTATGTGCTCTTACGCCAGTGCTACAACCAGAGGCTTACCAAAAGGATTTGACCCTCTAAAATGAAAAGTCATATAATGCTTGAGATTATCAGGCTCTGGCAAAGGATCTATAGTCTCACTACTTTCATCCATCGTATTCATCACAGCCAGCTCAAGGGAGTAAGTGTGGGGGAATAAAGAAGAGCAAAAACGCTCCACACTGATATCAAATGTATTAAAATGTATAGAACTACTATACATATACTTGAAATCAAACACAGTGCAGACGATCCCAGGAAGATGTGCAGATCAATTCCTGGTTCCATAAAAGTTTAATACTGAGGGATCTGTGCTGGAGGAGGTCTATCTCTACTAAGGGTTCTGTGCTGGGGGAAGGTTGGTCTGTACCAAGGGGTCTGTGCTGGGGTGTCTATTTGTCTCTGAGTTTATCTGTATTGAGGGATTTGTGCTGAAGGCATCTGTAATGAAGGGGTGGGCTGGGAAGCAGGGATTTGGGGTTTTTAGGTGAGATCTTCACTGTTGGGAATAATGGTGTAACACTACCCGCTTTGGAGTCACTAAAGTTTGGGCCCCCCTATAGTCCTGCACAGCCATGCGACATGCATTTCCTTCAGACTTGCATCCAGGAGACGATAACCAGTCCTTAAGCTTGTTTTTTGAATTTTATTAGGGGAATTAGAACTTGGATAGGTTAAGAGGTGCAGGGGATGCCCAAGGGTAATGGCAACAGAGGACAACCTCCTTAGCAACTATGTACATGTCTTTACAGCAAAAATTCTTCTGGAGAGCTATCCGGCATCTCCTCTTGTACCACCCCAGACCCTAGATGAATCCTATCCTTATCCTGTTGTACTGGGTGAATCCCGGGGCAGGGGATCCAGTCCCTGTCACTTCAAATGTAAGACAGTCCCGGTTAGAAAGCGAATCCAGTTTCCCACTAGAGTGCTCCTTTAACCTTAATGGCCCAGGTGCATGTCTACTCACTCAGTCCTTCTCCTGTGCTGCTGGTGGGTTAGTGGCTGCTACTAGGCCTTGTAACTGGGCCACCCCTTCTCTGCTGCACAGGTAGTTCTGGCTCTGGGGACCAGTGAATTCCTAAGCTTTCCTCCCTCCAAGGTCCTCTGCCTGTAGGTGAGCCCCTCACTCTCTGGGCCCCTCCCAGGCTCTTGCTCTCATGCCACATCTTACACCCAAACTCTCCTGCTTCTGAGCAGGCTCTGTCACTGTTAAGGGCTGTCCTGGTCCCATGCCAAGCTTCCTGTTGGGGATTGGCCGGGATCCCTCAAAAGTTCAGATCAACCACTCCTCACCTCTTCCCACTTCTTCTAGAACTTTCTCCAAAGTTCCAGAGCAGGGAGAAGTCTCAGAAAGCAGGTCTGCAGAGTCTCTCAGCTCCTGACCAACATTTGACCCCTCTTACTGTTGTACCAGGCTGCTACTCAGCCTATGGCTAACAATTAGAACTTTAGCTCCCCCTAGCTAACTAGGAGGGTGCTACAATGGCTTGGGGTGAGATTTGTACTGGGAAGAGAGGGTGATTTTTGGTTGTACTCTCTAAAGTGGCAGTGTGCTACACACTCCTGCACTCTCTGTCTAATGCACTCCGGAGCCCTACACTCTTTGTGATATGCATTCC